TCAATAAATGGCACAAATAGTAAACTAGGCATCAGTTAGACAGAGGGTGTGTGGGGTGGGGGCACAACACTTACCCATAGTTGGCAACAAATGGTATCCCAATCAAGTGTAATGCAAACTATGACCACAATTAGTGGCAATTAATTGCTGGATGCGATCACTTGTGCTATGAATACAACATTCATATCAATCATAGCATACATACACTCGTCGTCTCACTCTCACTGTATAATATGAACACCGCATTCATGACTGCACTGTACTGCTGAATGGCTGCACACCATATGTCACACTACTCTACGCCAACTTATTTGTAGTGCTATATACTTATGACGACATACAGGGAGTGTCAATGCATTGCATCCATTGAGTCCATTGAGTCCTCTCATCCTCTTTAATATTACGGTATATTGAGGTCAAGCCTTCACTAGTCTATAGTCTATAGTCTATAAGGTGTATGCGTCGGGTTATGGGTTATATCATATGAGACTCAGTGCACATCCCATGCAAATACACTACCATTTCTATGCACATACATCACAGGGATCAGACACCAAAGGGATCACCCCATCAGACACAGACACTCACACAGACACACATAACTTACTGTATGACATAAATGCACACAATTTGACACATAAATCATTAAAAGTGCATCAAATTGGCACTTGTAATAGGGATCAGTTTGTAATGAGGGTTTGTTGCTTTAAAGTGAATCCTACTATTAATTAGCAATTACAGTTAATACAGTATTTATTGCAATACTTTCTAATCTGCTGGGTATTTTATACTGGATATTTAATAATCAGAAAACAAGTGATGATTTAATGCGAGTTTGTGAGTATGAATGTTGTAATAATCAAATGAAAACTTATAAGTACTTCAGTGATACTGTATAACAAAACTTGTGTTTCGGCAAAATGACAGAATCGGGAATTTGAATCAATTAGATATTCTGATGTAAGACCACGAGCAAATGTCTTATTCAATCATAATTTATATACCGGTACTAAACAGGATAACTTATACAAGAATATACACGGAATATAAGACTATTAAATAGTCACTATTTGAACATCACATAAAACACAAATAATTGCTGCTATAAGCAAATTATAAAACATTAATTAAAAATAATACAAGTAATGGGAAACAGGCATGAATCTGCAATATATGAACATATACAGTAGTTAAACTAATACAGTAACTCTATTATCTAAAGTTTTGTTTATTTAAAGTAATTACAAAGTATATATTTATAAATCTATTAAACAAATAAAATTCTTATGTTTAAATTGATGTAAATGATTGATATGATTTTAAAATTATGCTTCATTTGATTTCTAATGAGTATAAATTGCGATATAATAGGATTCTGCAATACATTGA